GAAAAAACGAGAAATCTGTTAAAAAGACACTGTTCTAAAACCCGGTTTTTTTCCTCTTCTTTATCTTTGTAAATAAAATACTGCTATAGCGCTATCAGACAAACATGCGAGTCGGTTATAGCCGAATATTGCTGAAGCTGTGCACAGTGCATAGGCCAATTATACATAATGTAAAACCTCGCCAGTTCAGAAACTTGTTGGTGGTCTAGTGAAATAAAGAATGGGAGGGCCCACGTGTGTCAACAATGAAGGCCGGAGCGAATGAGTAGGGAGGGTATAACATGCGCAGACAAGCAGAACGCATCGCGTGATAGGCCAGCGTAAGCCTAGTTTAGATTATCAAGGCCTACCATGCCTCTCACTTTTCCGATGCGAGGATGGAGAGGTCTCAGCAATGTGATGGGAGGAGCAAATGTGTGACGTGCACAAACTGACGGAATGCACCACAGGGTGTGGTGGGGTGGGGGAAAACGCAGCGGGCGAGTTAGCCCAGAACCTAGACGGTCAGAGAATAGTATAGCCCAGAGCCCTTTCTTTCAGATCGCCAACGCCGAGCTGCCAGTCAACATCGCTAGATCTAGCACTAGAGAAAGAAACCTGATTCGATTTTTGATCAAGTAAGACCTAGAGGTCATGTTGAAACAAAATCATCATCAGGGGAGATAGCAAAAGGAAATGAACAAAAGACCAAACTCATAGATTAGGCCTACTTTACAGTTTCCCTTGAATTTATTACTGGATCCCTTATAGTGAGAATCCTGCTATAACGGACATTTTGCTCCGGTCCCCTCCCTCTCGTTATAACAGGATTCCACTGCAGTGGGGTACACTTATAACGATTCCTGAAACAATGAGAAGTCTGTTATAAAGACACTGTTCTAAAACCCCGTTTTTTCCTTCTTTATCCTTGTAAATAAAATACTGCTATTGCGCAATCAGACCGTCACGCGAGTCGTTTATAACGAATATTGCTGCTGCTGTGCACAGCGTACAGACCAATTAAACATATAAAACCTTGCCACATTCACCGCATGGACGACTCTCGCCTCTCAAAGAGGTTACTCTATAGAAAGCTGACTCTAGGCAAACGTTCTCTCTGCGGACAGAAAAAAACGCTTCTATGACACTCTGAAAACATCCCTGAAGAGATGTGACATTCCTCATACCACATGGGAAGAAGCTGCTCAGACTCAGAAGATCGTACAGTTTGGTGCTACTTAGTAAGATCTAGAGTAGAGTCGCCAAGTTCGAAGAAATACGCATCAGAAACAAAAAGTAGAGACGGCAGTTGAGAAAAGACCGAGAGAGCCCGAACTTCCAGTATAGTGCAGGCCCAAACACCCCCCACCCCCCC